CAAAAGAATGCAAATGACCAGCGGTCTGCAAGGACTGGGAATCCTTCCAGCACCACCACCACCACCCAGCATCCAGTCAGACCTGAAGAAGCTTCTTGGATGAGAAGAGAAATGTCTTCAAAGACAAGCCAGAAAATCCAGTTGTCTCCTGATGAAGAAGTTCTTGTCAGGGTTCTAAGTAACAGACCCAATGCAATCAAAACTCCGAGGCCAAACTGCTCATCAAAGATTTATTAGGCAGGTCATATTGGCACATCTGGTTTTCCCCACCCACATTAAAAATCAAAGTTCTCCCCCACCCAGTCCATGTGTCCATCACATGGTCCAGCCAGGTCACAGTCCCAACTCCAGCTGGTTTCAGTCCATGCCTTCCCAGCACCTGGTGAGAACGTCCTTGGTTCCCAGGAGAATGAATTTTATTTTGGCTACAGATCCCCAGATGTCTCTTATTCCCACCTCCCATTCCCACAGCTCCAAGCAGCCTTGCTGGGGCAGCCATGTAAAGTTTCCAAAATGGCTTCAGGGTTGACAACACTAGCACTAATTTCCGTTGCAACTTGAGAACCACCCATACTCTTTTCCAAGTTCAAGAGAGGGCTGGAAGAGTAATTTCCCCCCTTCTGGACAGCTGGCATCCTTGACGGCGTTGTGCCTTTACCAGCAGTTAAGTCATGAGAGGTTTTCCTGGTGGGGGAGTTCAAGGCATTGCTGCAGAATCAGATCTTTTCTAACTGTAGCTGAAGAGGACAATGAAAGATTGGCAGTTTGGGACTACAACTCACCCTCTGCTTGCAGCTCTGACTTTGCCAGCCAGAGAAAGGGCTGTGCAGGAGGAAGACACCTGGGCCCTTTTCAGTCTGGTGGGGAATGCCAAATATCCAGGCTTTTTTATTTGCTATATATGGGGTTGATTGGTTTCTGTATTAAGGTTTTATTGCTGTAAGCTGTCTGGAGTCAAATTGAGTTGGGCTGCCATGCACAATTTCTTAATAAATAAAAATACATACATACATGTCAGTGGTGGGTTTCAATTTATTTTACTATCGGTTTGCTTGATCGCTCTACATTTCTGCGCACGCACAGAAGCGTCTGGGCTGGTGGGCGGAACCTCCCACCACTGCCACTACCAGTTCGTCCGATCCAGGACAAACCAACAGAAACTCACCTCTGATACATACCGTATCTTTCAGACTATATTACACACCAAGATTTTGAAAAGGTAATTTTTTAAAAGGTTTTTACCCTCCCCGGCCCCCAGGAGCACTCTGCAGAACTCCCAAACCCTCTGCATGCCCCATGTCTTTATGAAAAACGGGGCATGAAGAGAGTTTGGGAGGCCTAGAGTGGTCCTGGGGGCTGGGTAGGGCAAAACCCCCACATTTTTGCAGGAAAAGGCTCTTTTTTTTCCACGTTTCCCCTCCCTACCCCCAGGAGCACATTGCAGCCCCCCAAACCCTCTGCATGTCCATTTTTGTGAAAAACGGGATGCACAGGGTGGGGTTTCAGGAGGCCAAAAATGTGCATTGTGTATAAGACGCACCTAGATTTTCACCCTTTTTGGGGGGAGGGTAAGGTGCATCTTATACTCCAAAAAATACGGTACATATCTATATTCCGCCTTTATTATAGGTGGAAAAAAAACTCAAGGTGGCAAACATAAGATCTCAGCACCTTTCCTCTGGCCCAACATGCTCAACACTGTGAAAAGAAACAACCACACAACTCCAGAGAAAGGAAGCACAGATCTCCTCCCTCATGTTTGATACTAAGGCATGTTTGACTAAAAAGAATAGGGCAAGAAATTTAATGGTTAATTTCTAAACCGGGCTTCCAAAGAGAGAAGAGAAACGAAATTCAAGATTCCTCTACACACATCAAATTTTGCTTTATATGGAATTTCTTGTGTGCGGTAAGAGAGGAATTTTGTGTGAAACACTGCCCACAATCTGGACATTTGAATGGTTTCTCCCCTGTGTGTAACCTTACATGATTTATAAGGCTAGACCTAATACTGAAATCTTTCCCACAATCTGGACACTCATATGGTTTCTCCCCTGTGTGAGTCCTCCAATGTATCACCAAGCCAGAATTGCGAATGAAACTTTTCCCACATTCAGGACACTCATATGGTTTTTCACCTGTGTGAATTCTCTGGTGTTTAACCAGGTAGGAATTCTGACTGAAACCTTTTCCACAAAATAGACACTCATATGGTTTCTCTCCGGTGTGAGACCTCTGGTGTAACATCAGGTGAGAATTTTGACTGAAACTTTTTCCACAATCCAGACACTCATAGAGCTTCTCTCCTGTGTGAATCCTCTGGTGTATCACTAAGTCGGAATTTCGAATGAAACTTTTCCCACACTCAAGACACTCATATGGTTTTTCTCCTGTGTGAGTCCTCTGGTGTATCACTAGGGTAGAATTCCAATTGAAACTTTTACCACAATCTAGACACTGAAATGGTTTGTCCCCTGTGTGAGACCTCTGGTGTACTACCAGGTGGGAGTTCCGATAAAAACCTTTCCCACAATCTGGACACTTATATGGTTTCTCTCCTGTGTGAGTCCTGCGGTGTTGCACAAGGTGTGAATTTCGAATGAAAGTTTTCCCACACTCCAGACACTCAAATGGTTTTTCTCCTGTGTGAATCCTCTGGTGTATCAACAAGTCAGAATTCCAATTGAAACCTTTTCCACAATCAGGACATTCAAATGGTTTCTCTCCCGTATGAGTCCTTTGGTGGATGAGCAGTTTGGAATTCCTACTAAAAAGTTTCCCACAATCCAGACACTCAAATGGTATCTCTCCAGTGTGAGTCCTCTGGTGTATCAGCAGGTTAGCATTCTGACTGAAACTCTTCCCACAATCGGGACACTCATATGGTTTTTCTCCTGTGTGAGTCCTCTGGTGTATCACCAACTTAGAATTCTGCTTGAAACTTTTCCCACAATCAGGACACTCATATGGTTTCTCTCCTGTATGAGTCCTCTGGTGTATCACCAACTTGGAATTCTGCTGGAAACTTTTCCCACAATCTAGACACTGATATGGTTTCTCTCCTGTATGAGTCCTCTGGTGTTCCACCAGGTGGGAATTCCGACTGAAACTTTTCCCACAATCTGGACACTCATATGGTTTTTCTCCAGTGTGAGTCCTCTGGTGTACTTCCAACTCGGAATTCCAATTGAAACCTTTCCCACAATCTGGACACTTATATGGTTTCTCTCCCGTGTGAGTCCTCTGGTGTATCAGAAGCTTAGAATTCTGCTGGAAACTTTTCCCACAATCCGGACATTCATATGGTTTTTCTCCTGTGTGTCCCCTCTGGTGTATCACCAAGTTCGAATTCTGACTGAAACTTTTTCCACAATCTGGACACTTATATGGTTTCTCTCCCGTATGAGTTCTCTGGTGTATCACCAGCTTGGAATTATGCAGAAAACCCTTTCCACAATATAGACACACATATGGTTTCTCCCCAGTGTGAGTGCTTTTGTGTATCAGCAGATTGGTGTGCATGCTAAATCTTTTGTCACAATGAGAGCACTGGTAGAGTTTCTCTTTGTTAGGGGTCCTTCCACTAATGACGAGAGACCTATTCTGAGTAAAGCTTCCGTGGCACTCTAAACATTTATATGACTTTTCACGTGGTGGTTCAGCTTATGCATCAATCAGATATGATCTGCAATCTTTGCCTTTGTTTTTTCCACATTAGGCAGTCTGCGGGATTGCCGGAGGCTGCTCTAAGGCAGGGAAAAATATTTCTGACCTCTTGCCTGGTGTTTGTTTGGTTCAAGCCATTCTTTCCTTCTTCAAAGGCTTTCATTAATGCCTGCCAGTTTTGGCTATACATAGGACCTCTATTTTTTCCAGCTCAAAACTGTGTTCTTGTTATTCTTTCCCTCGTCTCTCATCTGTTTAGGAAGAAGAGGTTTTAAACTTTCCAGAGGAATTGGAAAATACTTTGAATGATGGCTTATTTTGCACTTTAATGCTGATTCTCATTCTCTGTTGTCCAGTGTGCTCTTCTTGGCATCCTCTCTCTCTGTAAGATTAATATAAAGCAGATAGTTTCATTACTGTTTAAAAATGGCTGCAGGGCATATGAAAGCAACAAAAAAAAAACATCCCATATATTAGCATGAAAAAAACAAACACTAAAATTATATTTTAACCTTGATATTAATTATGATTGATTTGGCATACAGAAGCCTAACAAAATCCAGGTTCAAATAGCAACGCCTTCATAAAATTCTCTTTTTCAATCAATCAGTTAATCAGAATAGAGTTGAAAGGGAGCTTGGAGGACTTCTAGTCCAGCTCCCTCCTCAAGCAGATGTATGGTATAATATTACATTTAAATGTTTGACTCATGTATGAACGCATATGAGCACAGAAATACATACCTGTGAATGTATGTATCTTGGTGTGCAAAATGTCCCAAAGTCCATTCACTCAAATTGTTTGATCTGTGTTCAAAGCCCGACCTATCCATACTACAATGTGCACGCTCCCATGAGCTCCGCACAGAGGTCAAAAGACACCAAGATCGAGGACCAACTGACCAGTGCATCGACTACAGTGCCGACTGTATCAAACACAATACCAACGGTTCACGTCCCTTTAACCAACCCAACAACCAATAGCCCCAACAACCCAATCACCCCAATGCACCAACAACCAAAACTAGGCATGCACACCCCCAAGATCATTCAGGCACACCGCTACAGATCTCAAATGCGAACTACTCAATGCAAGAAGCCTTGCAAACAAAATGTTGAAAGTCCTCCTACTACTAAATATGGCTCAATTCAACCCTATTTGTCTGCGAAACGTGGTTAAACAAATCCTTTCTAGACCCCATTACCACTACAAGTGACTACCATGCCTACCAGTCTGACTGTGAAATCTGAAGAGGTGGTGGTATTGCTATCTTCTATAAAAAGTCCCTAGATCTGAAAAATATTTAAGTTACACAAAAGCTCTTCCTGAGACCATTAGCTGCGATCTGTCACTAAATACCACAATTCGCTTCCTATTATGTTACAGAGCCCCTGATTACGACCTTGATCATGCGAACAAACTAACCGCATCACTAATGTGGGCAGCCTCATGCCCTCATCTCATTATTTTTCTTGGTGACCTCAGTTTACCTCTTATTAATTGGACCTTAATTGAATGCACAACCAAAACCATACATATGACCCTGTATAATGTCGTTACTACTTTGGGACTGGATCAATTGGCAACTAACAACACCAGACTCAACCACTGCCTCACTCTCATCTTCTGCAACAGTTTAAACTCAATTTATAACCTACAAATCAAAGAACCTTTTTCCAACAGTGACCATAGTTTGACTGATTTCTGTCTAAATTTATATCCATACAAATAATCTCATAATAGAACTCCTAAATATAACTTCCAAAAATCAAACTACAATCTCATAGCTGCCAACCTCTCATCTTTTGACAAACCTCACACATTTCCTAAGAGGTTCCTAAGGAGGGCATGCATAAACTCACCAGTGTGCCTATCGTCATTGTCCTATCGTCCCCATTGATATGTACTCATGTGTTCATGGCCATGTTATACTTATCCATTTGTATCAATCTCATGCAAAAATGTCCATGCCTATACTAATACCTGTTACCTTGTACATGTTGACAAATAAATAAAAGAAATAAAAATAAATTTTAGAAAGGGGGGGGAGGACCCTGATAGATGAAAAGGTGCCCAATTCCTATTCAAGATATAAAGCGTCTGTTTTGCCCATTAAACTCCTCGCTTCCCAGGAAAACCGGATGGCAATAAAAATCACAAGAAATCAACAGGTACCTGAAAGCTGGTGTTTAAAATGGGTGTTAGAGAAATATGAAATAAATGTTATTTTTAAATCTCCCATTGGTAAAATCACAGGCAGAGGTTTAAAATCGTGCAGCCCCAGGGGAATACAATTTGGGGAGGGAAAGAACATGAAGTAGCAGCAGCCAACACGATTCACCCTCGTTGCTTCCGCTGCTTTATGCGCCGTGGAGGAACCCAAAGGGCCCGACTTTCTCCCGGCTTCTCCTCCGACCTTCCCTCCACTCACCTCCCAGGAGCCGCTTCGAGCCTCCAAGGAGGACAAGAGGCTCCGCCGACACCATCACCCTCCCGTGGCTCAGCCGGAAGAGGTTTCTCTGCCCTTCGCCTCCTCTCCTCCACATCCTCCCTAGGAATACAATTCTCTATCGTTTCAACTCGTTGCTGCCCAGCCTCTCTTGCTCTCCCTCTGTCGCCCTTGGACCGTACCTGCTTTTTACGCGCGAAGGTTGCTTCTCTATAGCTCGCCATCTAGCGACGTAAGGGGGAAGAACACGCTCCTTCTACCCTAAGCCGTGCTCATTGATTCCGTGCTTATGACCAGTAAGCATCCTGGCCGGCTTTATGCCTTCGACAGCAGTTGGTAATGCATAGGAAAAATCATTGGAGATTTTCCTGGCAGGGCAGTTCAAGGCATTGCTGAAGATTAAGATTTTTTTAATATGTTCAGCTGAAAAGGGCAAGGAAATGTTGGCAGCCTTGGACTTCAACTCACCCTCTGCTTCCAGCTCTGACTTTACCACCCGGAGAAAGGGCTGTGCAGGAGAAGAAAGGCTCCTGGGCCCTTCTCAGTCTGGGGTCAGGCCGGGGCACATCACCAAAATGGCACTGGTTGTGACTGTCGTGGACTTTTGGAGGGTTTGAGGTAGAAGGGGTACAGTCATGTCCCTCCTAGATCTCTCATCAGCTTTCGATACCGTCGACCATGATATCCTTCTGGACAGGCTTTGGAGACAGGAAATGAGAGGAGCCTTTATTATGGTCATTCTACTTCTACCTCTATGCCCGGTTTCAGTTGGTGTGGGTAGAAGAGGGGCCGAGTCTGGGCCCCTGAAATTTGGGATGCCCCGGGGCTCAAGCCCTTCGCTGATCCTTTTTAAAACCCCATGAAACCGCTAGGGGTGACCATCCATCCCACAGTAACCAATCATGTAAAGGTAGTCCTGTGCATAATTCAAGTTTAAATCACTATTCAAATAGAAATATTAAATATTTCCTTCTTTTTTTGGCTTGGAGAGATCACACATACGTGCACATATATGCCCATAGAAATACACACCTAAGAATGTATGTATGTAGAAAATCAATGTGTATTTCAGTGTGCAAAATATCCCAGGAGTGCACTTTCTCAATTTCCTGGATCTAGTTTTAGCAAGATGGGGACATTAAATGAAATGGTGCATGTGATACTTCTCACTTGCCAGGAAAATAACAGGCCAATAAAATCACAGCGAATGAAGTGCTACATGAAGAGTGAGGGAGATGGGCAAATATGAAATATAAAATATTTTTTTAAAGCTCCAAAATCTCAAATCAAGAATAGAGCTGGAAGGGTGCTTGTAGGTCTTGTAGTTCAACCCCCTGCTCAAGCCAGGCTTGTTGAACTGGCCGTCCGCAGGCCAGATATGTCACAGGCAGGCCACGCCCACCCTCGCTTTGCAAAGGCAAAAAACGTCATGATACGTCAGGATCCAACCCGTGACGCCGAGTTTGACACCCTTGCCCTTCAGACAGGTGGCTGTCCAGTCTTTTCTTAAAAGCTTTCTGTGATGAAGCTGATGAAAGAAATGTCCTTTTGGGTTCAGCTCCAAGTGGGGAAAAAGACACTGGAGACATGGAGGCTGCTTGGAAA